TTGCCAGATTACGCTGTGTTAATTCACCGGTCCTGTCAGTAGCTCTCCAGAAACGCACACAAATTTTCAGGGAGTCTTGTAGCTCTTATTTTCATTTGGCTTCATGTTGCCCTGTTTTCCTTCTTCATACAGACCTCTGGGGTCTAGCATGGTGAAAACCTTGGGTGTGCCTCTAGCCTTGAAGACTTCAGAAGAGAGATCAAAGTCATTTTTCTCGGTTGTATTTAATCTACAATATAGTTAGCAGCTAGGGAGATGTGAAGGCAGTCTGGCTGTGACCTGTCTGCAGGGTTGAAAGATGAACCAGGGCATGGTGGCTTCGTTCTTGCCAGCTCTTTTGTCCACCCAAAACCCTAGCAAGGCTATTTGTTTGTTCTTTCTTGCTAGCTTCCCATACTAAACACTGTGCACATCACCTTTAAAAGGGAACCAGAGCAATTTCTCAGGCAGAGGTGGCAGCCTCCACTGTTGCGATTTCTATAACTTCTTAACATGACTCTAAAAGATTAACTAAATTACAGCTCCGTTTTAAAATACAACGTTTAAAAAAACGTTTCTGTTGTTTGAAAATTTCATATGTGCATGTAGTGGATTTATTTATTTATATTTTCACTTTATTTTATTTTGTTTTTTCGAGACTTTTTCTGTGTAGCCTTGACTATCCTGGAACTAGCTCTGTAGACCAGGCTGGCCTCTGCCTCCCAAGTGCTGGGATTAAAGGTGTGTGCCACCATCACCGACTGGACTATGCTGTGTTTTGGTCAAACAGGTTCCTCATTTCCTGTCCTATAGTTCTTCCACTCTACCCGCCCCCCCTTTTCCCTCCCAAATAAATATTTTGTTTTGTTTTGTCTGTTCTGTAAAGCCGAGTTTATTTGGTGCTGTCAGTATGTGTATGGGTGTTGGGTTGTCTGCTGGAGTGTGAGTTGCCTCTCAAGAACCTCACCTCATCCCTAGAGAAAACTGAGTCTTGTAGCATCCGTCAGTTGCTAATAACTCCTCAGCTATGGTTGAGATTGTGACCCCATGTATGCTCCCGAAGCCTTATAAGGTATAGTTTACAAAAAAATTTCCCTGATAAATCTTGTCTTAGACACCTGAGAATATAGATATGAGAAATTGACCTGATTCTATACAAAAATATCAGCTGGTCTGCTGCCATCTACAAAATAGCAAACTTAGTAGGCTGCCTTTACTATCTCCCCTCGATTAGCTGGACTTCTCTCGTTCACGTTTCCTTGTTCGGTGTTTGTTTTTCGCTGTGTGGTAACTCGAATGTGTGTGTACTCCATGAGTGTGCTTGGTGAATGAATATAAATACCACTTTGGCTCTCAGATCGTAGCAGTGAAAGTGCAGGAAAACAGCCTTGGGACAGTGGAGTAGAATTGCAGACTTCCTTTTTCATGCAGTGTCAATCCAAGCATGCGTTCGTGTCCACTGTGTCATTTCAAACAAACAGATAAATACTCGAATTGGGTTAAGCCTAGGCTTTTGTTCCAGTGCTAAGGTTTGTGACGTGTAGTCTGCCTCTACTCTAAAGCCAGGACTGGGCTCCAACTCTCAGAGCTAGAACCAGCCCTGCAGATCTGGAACCCCTCTGTCTCTGGGCTACACCCCCTTAGGACCAGGTCGCCACTCACTTTCCCAGAGTCAGAGTGGCTCTGATGCAGTGGAGGGTACCAGAGCAGACAGCGAACACTGTCTGCTTCCGCCCGGCTTTCACACACTTCAGCTCCACGCATCTCTAATTTTAAAGTGTTTGTAAGTTGACTGAATCACTGTAAGAAGAAAGTACCCCCACTGTTATTTTTAGAAGAATTCCAGCTAGTTAATATCCACAAAATGACCATCCAGGCCAGAAGCGTGGCAGCAAGCAGGCCGGCATGGTGATGGAGCAGTGGTGGAGATCTTCCATCTTGAAACACAACCATGAAGTTATGTTCGTTGCTACTTCGTAACTAATCTTGCTACTGTTAGGAATCGTAATATAATATCTGTGTTTTCCAATGGTATTAAGTGACCCCTGCGAAAGGGTCGTTCAATTCCCTTGAAGAAGGGCGTGGTGGTGACAGTTTTCAAATCGCTCCCAGGAAAAGCCTGCTGAATGTTCTATCTTTAATTGGGACGCAGACCTCCTTCTCCACGAATCCTAAGCCAAGCACACAGCAACCCAGACTTTTAACAAGAACATTTGATAGTGGAGGGGATTTTATCACTCTGAATGTTCTACTGCCATCTAGTGGGTGGAGGCCGGGTGTGTGGCTAAGCAGCCTAAAATCAATCTGTCATTACTCCCATCTCACAGGGGAGCTGTTGTGGAGAAACAGTGACATTGCCTGTGCTGCTGTTCCTCTGTTTGCCACAGCTGAAGAAAGCTCTGGGCGTCGCCATGTTTGAGAATGCTAAAGGTTTGTGTGCTAAGTTACACAAGTACTGGAAACTGTGAAATTTGACCCGAGGAGTTGTTTTGTCGACCTTTGCCACTGTGTTCGTGTCATTCCTGGGGATACTGTGAGTCCATGCACAAAAACTGATACAAAACTAGAAACGTCAATTATCTCTCCGTGGCTAAAAGCTTAACACGGGTGTGAGGAGAGCTCCTGGTGTACGCATGTGTAAGAAGCTTCGTGTTTGGCTGTTCTTGTACGGTTTCATTTTTGCCGAAATGGTGGCAAAGTTTCTTTGTTTTTGTTAGATTCATCTTTCACAGCCCAGCTGAACAATTTCACAGAGGTTCTTTTGAAGTAAATGTGCCAGGTGGTTAGACAGTATTAGTCATTTTTGTCACTGTGGTGGCACAGGTAAGAGACACCTTCAGTGAGACCTTTAGCCCTCTGACAAATATAAAGGTGTTGGTAAGTTGTAGGTGCTTTTGGCAGTTGATGGCTGCCAGGGGGAAAGTGTCAGTTTTTTAACTGGTGTGGTCCCTGATACATTGACTGTGCCCCAGTGAATAGTCTGCCCCCATGCATGTGTGGACAGCACTAGTTAGACTCAGTATGATGCTGTGTATGTATTAAAGTGTATGTAATATATATACGGATTGCAGTAAGGAATAGAGGAATCTGTCTGGGAGGGGCCGGATGGTAGGAGTGTGCTGTGAAAATAATTGAAATACATATTTGCATGTTCTTTTCTGTTATTTTTTCCAAGACAGGGTCTCTCTGTGTAATTTTGGTTGCCCTAGAACTTGCTCTGTAGACCAAGCTGGCCTCAGACTCATAGAGATCCACCTGCCTCTGCCTCCTGAGTGCTGGAATTGAAGGTGTGCACTACCACCACCTGACTTGCATGTATACATTTTTAAAATATGCTTTAAAAGTGTTGGTAAATAGGACCTTAGGAGTGGAAAGTAAGCAATGTCAACACAGCATTAGCGAGAGATGTCTGTTTATACAAATGTCTTTACATTAGCAAGTGATGTCACTTTACACAAACGCGTTTACATTAGCGAGTGATGTCAGTGTGCACAAACATGTTTAGAGAGATTATTGTTTTTCAAACAGCTAATACATAGGAAGATAGGAAGGATAGTGGAGAAATGTATAAAGAAAACATTTCTTAAAAAAATTCATTTATTATGTATACACACACCAGAAGAGAGCACCAGATCTCATTATAGATGGTTGTGAGCCACCATGTGGTTGGTGGGAATTAAACTCAGGTCCTCTGGAAGAGCAACCAGTGCTCTTAACCTCTGAACCATCTCTCCAGCCCAAATAAAACATTTCTACTGAATAAAAACATCATGAAAATAAATGTAATTAAAACTCTTAAAGGTAAAATTTTATTTACATATAACTTTACATATGATTTTATTTGCATACAAATAGTTAGAGTCAGTTGCTACAGGAATCTTTGTCTTCAAGTCTGGAAATAAAAGCTATTAAAAACCTACTGAAAGGCATGAATTTTTAAACTACAATATGTCTGAATGAATGCCAATTTTGAATGTGTGGCTACGGGAGTATGTGCACTCCCTGCTAACTCCTAAACATTTGGGTCACTTATGCTAGCATCCTCAGTATGACATGGCCAGTGCATTGCTTCTTCTCTGGGCTGGGCAGATGGACAACGTTTTCCTTGACCTGCCTTGGAAGAGGTAGGTTGTTCATAGACTGTTTCCAGGACCACGGATGCTGCCCCTCACACATTCTCTAAGAGGGATCACTTTATCAGCCTGTCTAGCTCAGACCATCCTCAAATCGTGTCGGCATGGAAACAAATATAGGTAGGTGTCTGTCACTATCAACAGCGAGTAGAGTCTACCAGATACTGTTAAGGTTTGAATCTACAGTGTCCTCCAAAGGCTTACAGCGACTGACTCATGGGTGCTCTGACTTACCAATAGGTTATTCCACTGATGGGCTCAGGCTCACAGTTTGATGGCCTTGTTGGGAGGTGGTGAAAACTTAAGAGGTGGGTTTAGTTATAGGAATCACTGGAGACATGCCTTTGAAGGGTGTCTTGTCACTGGTCCCTGCCTGTCTTCCTTTCTCCTGTCTGTCATGAGGTGAAGGCGCCTCAGTGCATGCTGCCCATTGTGAACTGTCCCTCACTAGGCCGGGGCCAGAAACAAGACACCATGGGCTGAGATCCTGAGGCTGTGAGCCAAAATCATTCTTTCTGTCTTTAAAGTAGTTCAGGGAGGAGAAACTGGCATCACAGGCATGCTCAGCGACACCAGAGCAGCAGAGCGACACAATGACCTGGTCTAGAGAAGAAAGCCAAAGGCAGCAAGACTCTTGCTGTCTAGCGCTGAGCCTTTCTTCGTGGGACCAGGCTCCCACATTTGAGTCCTTATTTTGCATTCAATAAAGTAAGTGTCTTGTTACAAATCCCTACATAGTACCTCCTGCCTGTGCTCCTGGGCATGAAAGGGTAGTTCCCTTCCGATTTCCATGGTCTCATGTAGCCATCCCTTTTCCTGCTGTTAATAATTAACATGGCCTCGCTGATCCCCAAATTCCACTTTCACTTTCCTTAAATGGAAAGTCACTTCAAGGAGGTGACATACATAGTTTTGGTACCACCTCAAGCCATGGGGTTTTGGGAAATACTTCTGGTTTTGGCCTTCCTTGAAAAAAGTTGGGGACAGGAACAAACGTAAGTGAAGGAGAGCATCTTCATTCTATAGTTTGTGTGAGGGTGGTGTGGCTGGTAGTCACCAGACTGCGGACTTGACGGCACTGGGCTCCTCTGAGGCACCAGGTGTGCGGCTCATGTGAATGGGAAAGTCTTGGGATCGCTGAGGTCAGTGGATGGCTAACCCACGGAGGGCTGAGATCAGTGGATGGCTAACCCACGGAGGGCTGAGATCAGTGGATGGCTAACCCACGGAGGGCTGAGAGTAGTGGATGGCTAACCCACAGAGCGCTGAGATCAGTGGATGGCTAACCCACGGAGGGCTGAGATCAGTGGATGGCTAACCCACAGAGCGCTGAGATCAGTGGATGGCTAACCCTCGGAGGGCTGAGATCAGTGGATGGCTAACCCACGGAGGGCTGAGAGTAGTGGATGGCTAACCCATGGAGGGCTGAGATTAGTGGATGGCTAACCCACGGAGGGCTGAGATCAGTGGATGGCTAACCCACGGAGGGCTGAGATTAGTGGATGGCTAACCCACAGAGCGCTGAGAGTAGTGGATGGGTAACCCACGGAGGGCTGAGATTAGTGGATGGCTAACCCATGGAGGGCTGAGATTAGTGGATGGCTAACCCACGGAGGGCTGAGATCAGTGGATGGCTAACCCATGGAGGGCTGAGAGTAGTGGATGGCTAACCCACGGAGGGCTGAGATCAGTGGATGGCTAACCCATGGAGGGCTGAGAGTAGTGGATGGCTAACCCACGGAGGGCTGAGATCAGTGGATGGCTAACCCATGGAGGGCTGAGATTAGTGGATGGCTAACCCACGGAGGGCTGAGATCAGTGGATGGCTAACCCACGATTGTTTGTGCGGTCACTCATATTGCTGTTCCACCCAAACTTAACCATGGGATTATGTGTATATACAAGCACGTGAATTATTTTCCTTTTTGTTTTGTATTTGGTGCTTAGCTTCTTTGTGTTTCTTATGATTTTGCTGTAGTTAAGCCACAGTTACTTGGGGATCAGCTCCTTTTTTAAATGAATTAGTTTATTTTAATTTTTTAAAAATTTTATATACCATATTTTGATCATATTCTTTCAGCTTTCCCAATTCCTCCTGGATCTTCCCCTACCTAACTTCATGTTCTTTTTCTCACATAAAAAACAAACAAGCAGTAGTGTCGGAACTAGGGTCAGCACCAGGGCTCCCATGTTTGAGTCGAGAAAGGTTCTGAATTCTTTCATCACTGTGTTGACCCTACTGAAAGACGGCTCCTCGCTTTTCCTGAAAAGTAACAAAGTGTATCATGAACAACATGGAAATGAATCACTTAATGGATAAACTGCTTGATTCAGCAACTACCTGTTGAGCACGCAGTATGTGTCAGGCAGTGAGGTGTAACAGGGGGAGGAGCAGGTGAGAGCTTTGCCATAGTGGGAAGTCGGGCACTAAACGATTGACCCACTGATTGCATCAGCAAGGATGGGGCAGGGTAAAGTTGTGTAAGAAGACGTAGAAGTCAAAGGGCAGAGGTAAAGGGTCAAGCCATGCACGTACCTGGGGAAAGCATGCCAGAGGAACCTTCCTGCCTCGCTGCAAGCTCAGGATCCTCTGCTGCTGTTAAAGAGCATACAAAGATGAGATTCTCCACATGGGCACACTATGTGGCAGACACGTCAGGGAGGACCAGAATGTGTATGAGGGAGGACCAGAATGTGTATGAGGGAGGACCACCGCCAGATTTAAGGGCTTTGACGCTCAGCATGCCACGGCTCACCACTCTGTAACACACACGATGGGTACAACTGCTGAGCACTGAAACCGTCGCAGCCTTTAGCTCCAAAGGCTTTGTCTCATTTCAAAATTCTTAGTAAGTTCACTTTAGAAGAGTGGTGGAAAGTTTTAATGCTGGAAACAAACAGGCTGTTCTCCTTCAGTCTGGCTAGCCCGGTGACCCAGGACAAATGAGCAGCAGTTTGCTGGTCCTCAATGGGAGCAATAGTGACACCCTCTGAACCGAATGTGGTAGCCACACAGTGAGTGACATATATATATATATAACATGCTGAGAACGGCACAGTGAGTCACACAGACACACACACACACACACACACACACACACACACACGTGTGTGTGTAAAACATGCTGAGAATGGAGCCTGCTCATAGGAAAGTTTCAGTAAATGAATCTTATCACCCACTTTCATTTTGTGTCTGGCTAAGCACATACCTCAGATGAGTAGGCTTACAGGTTCCTCAACTGATCCGCAAATGCCTCCAAATCACTTTTGCAGGAAAACTGCCAGATTTGGTAAAGGTCTCAATTGCTGACTAACTTCATTGCTACGAAAGACTTGCTGATTGGTGAAACTCATAACTTAAGTTTATAATATAACCTAAAATATAATCATATAAGTTAAGATATTCCACCACTGGTAGGTGCCTGCACTGTCTCAGTCGGGTGTGCATGTGTCCCTCTCTGCTGGCAGTGTCACACACCTTGTGCCCCCCGAGGTAACATTTCTAAGATGGCTTTCTCTCATCTGCTTCAGCGAGTGTCGTTCTTTCTTGTTGGCAGTGTGCTGATGTTTTCTAGACATGTTTTTATTTAGCACACCACAGAAACAGTGTGAAGTACAGTGTCACCAAAGCTGTTACGTCTTGGCCTGTTTCAGCAGATTCACCGTTTCAGCACCAGTGGTCTTCCGCGTCGGAGTGTCAGAGAATGTCATGGTCCAAGCCCACGGCCACTCTGATGCCTTTGATGCAACCATCTCTGTAAAAAGCTATCCTGATAAAAACGTCACTTACTCTTCAGGCTCTGTTAATTTATCACCAGAAAATAAATTCCAAAACGCGACAATCTTAACAGTATGTATTTTTGTCTTTCTTTTGAAAATATACAGAGAGAATATTTTTGGTAGCATGTATGTGTTTTGAACATTGACAGAGATCTTGCATCGGTTTACCATTGCGTGAGTATTAGATGATTATCACCAACTGATAACAATCTGAGGTTCACAGAATTCTTTTTCTAAAGGATTTATCTTTTACGTGGGTGTGCCTGTGTGAGTATACATGTGTGCATGTTCAGGTGTCCAAGGCTAGAGGGTGTTGGTCCCCTGGAACTGGAGGTGGTGAGTGGTCACGTGGGTACTGGGGACAGAACTCCAGGTCCTCTGCAAAACAGCAAGTGCCCTTAACCGCTGCGCCATCTCTTCAGCTCCTGAGTTGAACGATATTCTAAACAGAAAATTGTGTTTGCTTTTTGAGCAATGGATGTAAATGTTAACATTTTTATTGGGAAATAAAATTGTCTCAGCTTGGAAACATTTGGAGATGTTTAGAAATGCCTATGAAATTATCACTAAAAATAGCAAAGAAACAAAACATGCATGCTTTTAACACATCTATGAGAATTATTACAAACAGAAGAGAAACATAAATGCTTTTAACAGTGGTCCAGACCTCAGTAGTCTATGGTTATATGTACTGCCCCAATCTTATAAAATTATTGTTTTCGTTTATCTTCTCTCAACAATTCATGACTCCCTCCCTGCTTCCAAAGAAGATGGTACATGGGGAAGGAACTTGGGGGTGTATGGGGGTGGTGGTCTCATGTTAGACCAGAACTCTACCACTGTGCTACAGCCCAAGTGAAATGATTGGTTACTGCAGTGAACAGCTCTCACTGATAATCAGCAAGAGAAACAGCATGTTTAAGTAAACACTTTTTTAAAATGACATTCCAGGCAGGGGATATACACCTCAGTGGTGGAGTGCTTGCCTGGCATGTACAAGGACCTGAGTTCAAGCCCCAGTGTCACAAAGACTCATTTTAATACAGATTGTTTGCCAAAGTGCTTGCAGCCCTTCTTACTGATAGCAGCAAACAAGAAAAATGAGAGAACCTCACCTTTGGCTTGAGCTGGTTTTTGGGAGCCTGTTCCCCATGCTGGGTCGCCTCGCCCAGCCCAGCCTTGATGCAGAGGGAGGAACTTGATCCTACCTCAACTTGATGGGTCATACTTTGCTGACTCCATGGGAGGCTTGCCCCTTTCTGAAGGGAGACAAAGAGAAATGGGTGGGAGGTGGGGGGGGGGGGTAGATCAAAAGTGCAGGGAGGGAAAAGGAGGAAAGAAGAGACGGGAAACTGTGGCCGGTATGTAGAATAAATGAAAAGATTTAATAAATGCTAAAAAAAAGAAAGAAAAGAAGAGGCTCTGTGGCTCCAGAGAAAAAGATATCTCTCTACAGTGAGAAGCAGATAAGGAAAGTAGCAACGGAAACATACAAAGGGCCTACAGTTAGGCTTCTATGCATTTATTTAATACTTTTAAGGTTTTATTATTATTTTAAAAATCTTTAAATTAAAAAATTCTTTCTTTGTGTGTTTGTGTGTGTGCCTTATATGCACTGTGTACATGCAGGCCCTCAGATGCTAGAAGGGCCAGTCAGCTTTCCTGAAAACTGAGCTGCATGGTATGGGGGCTGGAAACAAAACCAAGGTCCTATCCAGATCCTCAAATACTGAGCCATCTCTCTAGTCCCTATTTTAGATTTTAAATATCTAAAAACCATAGATGTAAGATTTCTGCTTAATTCAAGTATTTATGTATAGATAGATACTTGAAATATTTATATGTATTCACGTTATAAAATTTTTTATTGCACTGTAAACAACAAAAAGTCAATGCTGTGAATCTTCCATATCTTTCATTATTTAAAAGTAATAGTCGGGTAGTGGTGGCGCACACCTTTAATCCCAGCACAGGGGAGGCAGAAGCACAGGGCAGGCAGAAGAAGCAGGTGGATCTCTGTGAGTTCGAGGCCAGTCTTTTCTACAGAGCTAGTTCCAGGATAGGCTCCAAAACTACACAGAGAAACCCTGTCTCAAAAAAAAAAAATAAAATAAAAAAAGTAGCAGGAATATATACTATTACTCATATTTGAGAAACGGTGGTCACATAGGAATTGCTCCATCATTGCTCTTGAGAATAAATGTTCTAATCTCTGTCTAAAAAAAAGTTTCCAATTGCTTGGTTTATGAAAATTTAAAGTTCATTACACAAACTACTATTTTCTCTGATCACCCTTTATGATGCATGGCAGCCACTAGCCACAATGCAAGTCAATTAAATGCAGCTGATGCAATACCTGAGCTCCTTGCTGGCACTAGCCTATTTAAGTGCTAGAGTTACCACGTGCTGGGACAGCATAGTTCCAGGACCCGTCCTTCACCACAGGGAATCCCACTGAGTCGTGCTTTCAGGGTCAGCTCAGGAGCTGAGGAGCATGGAGGAACCAGAAACTTTGGTCCATGAAGACTTAGCTTCATGTTGACACTGTAAAACATCTTTAAACCAATTAAATGTTTTGTCATAATCTTGTCTTTGAGTCCATAATTAAATCTTTTTTTCTTAGAATTTTTAAAACAGTCTTCTCATTTTACACAGCTATCCCCATTCCCACTCCCTCCCCTCCTACTGCTTCCTCCACCTTCCCTGCATCCCATCTCCCTATCCATGCCTCAGAAAGGGTAAGGCCTCCCATGGGGAGACAACAAAGTCAGACACTCCACTTGGAGGAAGATCAAGGCCCTCCCCACTATATCTAGGTATCCACTGATAAAGAAAGTTTAGACACCAGTTCAAGCACTAGGGATAAATCCTGGTTCCATTGCCAGTGACCCCACAGACTGTCCAAGCCTCACAACTGTCCCCCACTTTCAGTGGGCCTAATTTGGTCCTAGGCAGGTTTGCCCGCTCTCAGTCCAGAGTCAATGGGCTTTCACTAGCTCAGGTCAGCTGTTTCTGTGGATATTACCGTCATGGTCTTGAGCCCTTTGCTGTATTATCATTACTCCCTCTCTTGGGCTGGTCTCAGGTAGCTTAGTCCAGTGCTTACCTGTAGATCTCTGTCCTGCATCAATCAGTTGCAGGTTGAAGGTTCTATGATGACAATTAAGGTAGTCATCAGTCTGATTACAGGGGAAGATCAGTTTAGGCATCCTCTCCACTGTTGCTTAGAGTCTTATCTGGGGTCATCCTTTAGGATTCCTGGGATTTTTCCCTAGTGCTATGTTTTGTGATAGCCCTTTAACCACCCCTTCAATCAAAATACCTCTTTCCTTCTCTCCCTCACTGTCCTCCCATCTTAAGCATCCCATTTCCTCATGTTCTCCTCCTCCATCCCTTCCTCGCCCAGTTCCTTTTAGTAAATCAATTTAAACTGTGTTTTATACTATTGATCAATGTTCTTTGTAGCTATTCATTTTTGTTTTCAATACATTCTGACTGCAGTTTCTCTCTCGACTCTCCTCCAATCCCACCTCCACAACCTTCCCTTTCCCCCAAATCCACCCTCCTCCATTTCTCTTCAGAAAAGAGCAGGCCTCCCAGGGAGATCCACTGAACATGGCAGAGCAAGATTGGATAAGACTGGGGACAAACTATCACACTAAGGCTGCACAAGGCCACCCACTAGGAGGAAAAGGGTCCCAAGAGCAGGCGAAAGAGACAGAGGCACCCTTACTCCCCCTGGAGACCTACAAACATCAAGATGACAACCGTGATAGAAGCTCTAGTTTGTTTTTCAAAGTAGAGAAAGAACTCAGATGTCTATAATTCATCTCAGCACAGAAATCCTAGATTTTTACTGTTTTCAAATCTTTGTAATAATCTCCTAGCAGTTGATTTCAGTAATTAACTTTACCCCATGTTTCCAAACCCTTAGTTCTCAGAGAAATGCCCTTTCTTTGACTGCCCATGTTAACATATTCAGTGCCCATACCATCGAATATACAGGTGGTGATGGTAATCACATACCCAAACTGGAGAGGGTACATCTGTGCTGTGGGCACAGAAGCATGTGGTGTGATGTTGAGTGTGCAGGCCATCGGCCAGAGTCTTGCACACAGAGAATGGAGAAAACAATTCATGCAGAAGCCAATAAGGTGAAGGTTTCTCACTGTTCCTACAATAGCAGTTCTGTTCAGTATGTCTGAGGTTGAGGGTCCCAAAGAGATTTCCAACTACTTAATGCTAACACTTTATTACAATGTCAGACTATGAAGGGATTTTGGCAAAACTAATTTATTATTATTGTTCCTGTAGTGGTTTTAGTAAATTTTGTTGTTTGGTTATGTTTATGAGACAGATTCTTACCTTGTAATCCTGGATATACTTGAAAATAAGATCCTCTCTGCCTTAGTTTCTGTAGTGCTATACTGTGCTATTATTATTATTATTATTATTTATTGTTTTTCAGACAAGGCTTGGAAAGGAACAACCAAGAGTGGGTGAGAATGTTGCCACCTGCTAAGATAAAGTGTCATTGCCAGAACTGTTGATTTGACTCCAGCAAGACAATTTGACATACAAGATAGTAATCTCTGCCTGTAACAATATTCTAATAGCTTTGACTGGCCTAGAACTAGCAATGTAGACTAGCTTGGCCTTAAACTCGCAGAGGTCTGCCTTCCTCAGCCTCTTAAAATGCTTGGATTAAAGGCATGCACCACTACAACAGGATCATTATTATTCATTACAATTTCCTGTTATTGGGTATTTTGCCTACATGTGTATTTGGACACCACAGCATGCAATAACAAAGGAGAGAAGAGGAGGTAGGATTCCTGGAACAAAAGTCAGGTGATCTGAGCTGCCACTTGGGTGCTGGGAATGGAACTTTTGTCCTCTGGAAGAACCACCAGTGCTCTTAACTTCTGAGCCCTGTCTCCAGTGTCTCTTTAAAATTATGCAATGCACAAGCTCAATTTTGCAGCCAGGTGATGGTGATACACACCTTTAAACCCAGCACCTGGGAGGCAAAAGCAGGAGAATTTCTGTGAGGTCAAGGCCAGCCTGGTCTACAGGAATTAGTTCCAGGACATTTCCAAAGCTACTGAGAAACCCTGTCTCAAAAAACCAAAAACCAAGCCAAATAAACAAACAAAAAGCACGAACAAGCTTAGTTTGGTCTTCCAGTTTGCACTGGTTTTGTCTCTACAAGGTCAGCACGCTTTAGGACTTCACAATCACACTTTCACACCGTCATGTTTGTTTGTTGTTTTTCAGATTCAGGACAAACAGTTGTCTCAAGGACAAAGCTCATTTTCATATGTGTATTTGGAAGTCGTGTCAAAGCATTTTTCAAAATCAGAAAAACGGCCAATCCTCTATGACAATGGCTCTCTCTTCATCCACACTGACAAGCCTGTGTACACTCCGCAGCAGTACGGTAGAGTATCTGATGCTTCTTCCAAGGGAGAATGACATAAAGATGTGGAACTTTGAACATCTGAAATTGAGTGGACAGTTAGAGACCTTCTAATTTTGGTGGATGCTGATGATGTCCATAGTGAGGTGAATGGGGCTGTATGATAATCAATACATGTAACATGGGCACCTATATATTGATTTGGAAAGGAAAGACCTAGACAGGGTCAGGATGTTGTCACCAGCTCAAACAGTGAGTCATTGCCTGAATGGTTGACCTAACTCCAACAAGACGACTTCTTATATGAGATAGTAGTCTCTGCCTATAAGAATATTCTTAAGTCCTTATCCTACTGATGTATTTAATGTGAAGACATTTGAAAGATTATTAGCTTAAGCATCTTTGAATAAAGGCTTAGTCTCCGAGGCTTCCTAGGATAAAGGACCTTAGAATATTGTTGAGAGTCCTTCAGTTCTTCACAGCCTGGGTCCCACCCTCTTTCCCAGGTCCCTTCTCTGCTATGTCTCCTCAGCTGTGGACTCAAGTTAGTTGCTTTTCCTGCTACTTCTCACGCACATGGAGGTGGATGCAGTGTTACTTCTGCATAGTATGTTTTTATCTTTTTATTTGACTCAGTAACTCCTGCTCGTAGCATCCGCATTCACGGATCCCTTCAGGAACCTGCAACTGCAGCTTGGCCTGCCACCCCCAGCACATTTCCTCTCTCTCTCCTCCTTGTCAGTGCTAGGGATAAGTCCAGGGCCTCAAACATCCCAGGCAAGTGCTCCAGCACTTAGGAACATCCCCAGTCCTTTCTTTTGATGTCTCAATACTCAAAGGCGTGTCCTCTGCAGCACCTGCACCTCCGTACTCCTGGAAACCTACACAACTGTGTTTCTCCTCTACTAGAGCATCAGACGGCATGCATATCAGACTTGGTCACCACTCTTATCTCATTGTCTAGCACAAAGCAGGCATTGCATTCAGTCATGGCTTCAATACACAGATTTTATTGATCTTGCCTCTGATACGCTAAGATTAATATTCTAAATTAACTAAAAACTAGGTTAGAAACTATGCAAATAATAGTCACTAAAATCATAATGATAACATAAACATTTGTTACCTCTTTTATTCTGAGTCATGTGGAGACTCTGTCCTGTTTGTACCTGTGAGTGTACTGGGAGGTGACACTAATGTTCCTGTTTTATTAGTGAGGTTGTTAAGATAACTCAGAACAGGAAGAGGAAACACCAAGACAAGACCACAGTTTTGAAGTTCAGAACCTGTGATCGTTGGCTTTTCCACATGCTGCTAACAACTATTTCTTGACACCTGGACAGGGAAGGCAGGTTTGTCATAGACGTGAGGGACAATATGAGGGAATGACAGCACTGAAGGGAGGAGAGCACAGGATGTGGGCGACCTGCTCATCATACTGGCTTTACCTTGTTACCTGGTGAAACAGAATTTCCTGGGACATCTCCGTGGAGTTACACAGTATGGACCAAGAGTCGAAATGGTGTAGGGCTTAGGGCACTATTTCTGTTTTAGTGTGGGGACCAAGACTTGGCTATGACTTGAGTTGAAAACCCTTGAAGAAAGAAAATGTGTCACCATGCCCTAGCAGAATCAAAAGCTATACCATTATGTTCAGTCCAGAAGCAGACAGTGCAGCTTAGCAACTGAGCTCCGGTAGGCACCCTGATCCTCCAGATCTTTGGGTCTTCTGCCTCCTGTTCCATAGCTCTCCCTGATCTCAGGTCTGGGGTTGTGTTTTATTTGTACTGTTCGGTGCTGGGTAGCCATGGTCATGCACTCTCTGTATTTGGAGCAGTTGTGAGTCTGTGTAGACGACACACAACCCACATGGGGGAGATTTTAAAGGCCTTCTACACGCAAGAACAGCTATATACAGTGGCTGCTCATAGAGGAAAGCTCGGTTTTTCCCAGGGAGGACCCCCACAGCTGATCCAATCCTGAACAGTTAACCCTAAGCACATGCATAGGAACAACACTAAATAAACATGTGTGTATGTGTGTGTAAATATAACAATAACAAGCATGCAATTATCTACTAATGCATGTAATTTCAAAAAAAATAAAGACTTTAAGCTAAAAGATATTGAGCACAATAAACAAAGACAAGGAAGATATTTTAGGGGATCAGTTTCAAATTTATAGAGATTAAAAACTACAATGGTAGAGATGAAATACTTGAAATGTTCCACTAATTGTTTTCTGTGGACTATTTTATTGTTGAATTGCCCTTGTTTTTTGTTTTTCGAGACAGGATTTCTCTGTAACTTTGGAGCCTGCCCTGGAAATCACTCTTGTAGACCAGGTTGGCTTCAAACTCACAGAGATCTGCCTGCTTCTGCCTCCCAAGTGCTGGGATTAAAGGCATGCGTAACCACCGCCCGGCTAAAGATGTTTTTTAAAATATATATTAATCTTTGAGAATGTCACTCACTGTATCTTAAATCATTTTCACCCTGATGATGTTTGTTTTAAAAATTAGAATAGTCCTTGCTCAACAAGGTTTTTGATGATATCACTTCTTCTGCAGTAAAGGTTGGCGTCCTTTCACTGGGAGATGCCTTGGAGCCAGTTACACGGAAAACTGTCTTAACTTTCATAGTAAGTATGTGCTTAGTCCCGTGATGCCTCCCTCACAGACGGATACACGGAGCAGGGCTGTTCCCGTGCGAGAGCTTTCTTGACACATGAACAAACTCTTCCTGAGTGCTTGCTTGCGGTTCTGCTTCTCCATCCAGAGTTGAAGCAGGGCAGCTCCTCCCTGCACAGCGTCATCTCCTTACAACCCTGGCCTCCAGCACTGTGGCCAAGATAAATCTCTAGTCTTCCAAAATTACCTGGTTACAGGTATTACTTTATAACAACGAAACATGACATAAGGCGGGCACGTTTTTTTATTTCTCTAAAGGACCCTGAAGGATCAGAAGTTGACAAAGTACAAGGAAACAATCTTACTGGAGCTGTGTGTTTTCCTGACTTTCAGATTCCTTCTAACCCCAAGTATGTAAAAGTGTTTGTTAATAAGTTGTTTTATGAAAAAAAAAATGACCTGGAACTTTTGTTTGTGGGGCAGAGGAAAGGTTAAGTGAGCACCTGCTCTGACCAAGGAGAACACACATGTGGCTATGTGAAGCCTTCCAAAGGATGGTAGAAGTTAGGTCCACTTCTCAGCAAAACAGAAATGAATTCCAGATACCAGAGCACTGCCCAGCAGACCAGGAGTCTCGGATTCCCAGCACACCTTGAAAAGAGAATCCCTTAGATGTAGGTATTACCAGCCAGCTTCAGCAGATAGCAAAACCCTGCAATACATAGATCTCTCTCTCTCTCTCTCTCTCTCTCTCTCTCTCTCTCTCTCTGACACACACACACACACACACACACACACACACACACACACACAGAAAAAGTTCCAAAAATTTCCCACCCATTCTTTTTATAGAGAGAGCAATCAATTAAGAAGAGAAAACAATCTTCAGTTGTCCTTTTTTGCCTTTTCATCCTAACAGAGTGTCCATCTCTGGGGAGAAGGCGTTAGGTTATGGTCTACTAGGAGAGGAGAGCACTTATGCCTAGCAGGTGCAGAGATTTAGTCTAAATGAGTGTGTGTGTGTGTGTGTGTGAGAGAGAGAGAGAGAGAGAGAGAGAGAGAGGGAGGCTAGGAAATTTTGTCTTATTTGGCTTCACATGCAAGGATCTACAATCCCTGCCCTCAAGGACCATAGAGCAGGATGTCTCAGACACGGGCAGCTATACTGTACTATACTATACTATACTATACTATACTATACTATACTATACTGGCAGCTACACTATACTGTACTGTACTATACCATACCATACTATACTATACTGCACTATAATAACTATACTGTACTATATTAGACAAGGGCAGCTATACTATTCTATACTATACTGTACTGTACTACACTATAATGTACTATACTATACTATTCTATACTACATGATACTATGCTATGCTATACTATACTGTACTGTACTATACCATACTACACTGTACTACACTATACATAGCTACCGCAGACATTTCCAGTAGAAACACTTTAGAGTCACTTGTGTTGTGTCGTCTCTAAGGGAAATTGTATTTGGCTCATTTTGAAAACATATTCTGAAAATCATAGACTGAAGTTGGGAGGTTGAAATAATCTGGATGATTTAAAATTATACAATTTCTTAAAATGCCATAGGCTCCCTAGTGCAGAATTGAGTCTGCTATGTTATGATTCTGATTTCCCAGACGTCACCTCGTGCCAGCTGTCCACAGCAGATCACTGGAATCCATCAGACTCCACTCTCCCATCTTGGCAGCTTGGTGTCTGTTGTCCTCTATGCATAGAACACATTCTCCTTCATAGTTCTCTTCTCTGGGACATGGGAAAATCACACTTTGTACAAATGCCAACCCTGGATATGACGTAGTGTCCTCTTCACTCTCCACCTCCTTGTCCTGTGTATTTTCTTTCTTCTCCATTCATTGTTTGTTTATCACCCCCTCTTCATCTTACACCACAGGCTCCTTAAGATCAAGGCCCTTGTCTATAGTGTTCATTTGAGCTCAGCAATTCAGCATCCTCGGTCCTCGGTAAATACCTGTTGAGCAAGGACAATAGTCATGACAACCGTGCTATCTCCTCCATTGATCGCTTCCCCTATCTGCATGATGGATACGGTTTTTCTCTTTCCCCAGTGATGTGCAGCAACTTGTATGAATCAAACCTGCTCAGAAAATATGTGAGAATCTGAACTGGTGTGGATTGTTTGCTATAAAGTCTGCGGTTCTTCTGTCTTGACCTTTTTTAAAATCTCAGTGTAGTACTCACTAATTTTTTCTTTGCCTGTTTGGTTTTGGTTATGGGCCTTTGGTCTCTAAGGAAAGAGTTTCTCTATGTAGCCCTGACTGCCCTCACTGTGTAGACAGGCTCAGCTTGAACTCAGAGATCCACCTCCCAAAGTCCTGGGATTAAAGGCATAAGCTACCACTGCTCAACCTCACTAAATATTTTTAAACGAAGGTTGTTGGACAGGTTATTTTATTCTTTAAACAAGCCGTGCTTTGTTTCCAAATATAATTTTGCTTATATGAGGTGTGATTTACATCACTAGCATGCCGTCTTTCAAGACACATTAATCTAAATTTTTTTTGCTGTATTTTGAACTGAACATATATTCCTGGATTAAGTAAATTCTGAAATTCTTATTAGTTCTCCTAACAAAATTGCTATATTAAAGTCAAATATGTAGGAAAAGAATGCAATATGAAAAACTAATTGTTAAACAATTTATTTTATTTTTGAAATGTTCAGTTATGTCTATTTATTTTTGAAATATCTTTCCTCCAAACTTACTTAGGGTGTGTGTGTATTCTTACCTCTTCCAAACAGAAACTACTAGAGTTGATAAATTAAAACTCTTTGTTGCTCTCCATGATTTCAAACATCTGGTTTCCACAGATACGGTAGATGGACGATTCAGGCTAAATATAGAGAAGACACTTCCACCAATGGAACAACACACTTTGACGTCAAAGAACATGGTAATCTTCAATCTAAGACTCATCTATAGAACATTAGTTTTTTTCCCAGTAATTCTTTTCAGTAATGTAACTGATGCAAACCACTCCCAGGTGGGAATGAAGTCCTGGGCCAGGGTGGTAGGAAGTCCTGGTTCGGTATCTGGCCAGGGAGTCAGTGCTTGTTAGAGGTTGTTAGAGGGCCACGATGATGTGGAAGAGAATACCGTCGTGCGACTGTTTTAGAAGGATTTTATGTCTTTCACACCTCCTTCTCTCTCACAGATAAAGCCTTCAAAATAAGTCTCACGCCAGTAAGTGATCTGCAGCACGAAGTGGAAATTCAAGGTACTCTAATGCTTTGGTGGCTGTTCAGGAGTCTGGGATCTCCTTGCCTGCTATTTTTGAAGAAGCCATCTAGATTTATGGATTCATGTTCTTTATAATAGAAGTGGTACAGTCACCATGGGAACCTGGCTTATGGGGGATCTTTCTAGGCTCATGATTTTAGGAAAAATAAACAATTAGCGACACGTAATTAAGTCAACAAACGATTTAGTTGATGAGAGTATTGTGGGTCATATTGCAGGGACAAGACCTATTTTTAAGTATTATAACAACAGTATGACACTGACCACTCTTCCCTCACTCCATTTTCCCGCTCATAGATGAAGCCCAAGGCGTGAGTCTCCAGTCAACAGATTACCTGGAACAGAAAATAAGAGAACAAGGTAGTCCACAAATTGTATAGCACTGCGGTTACTGCATTCAAGACCAGAGCAGAAGACATGGGCTTTCCCTAATTGCAATGCAACGGGTGGGGAAAAGATGCTCGTGGAGGTTTAGTTCACCCCTCTAATGATCCTTCACGCAAACTCAGGATTTCATTGGCCAGATCCTTACCACGAACAAAGCAGTTCTTTATTATTTCCTCATCTAAAACTATCTAAAATGTTTGTTTTCCCCGAGTATCTGGTGAGGGAGTTCTTTGATGGTAGAGAAATTGATGCTTGAGATCTACGACTGTTGGTGGTAAGGACACGCGTATTGACATCGTTTCAGCTGCTACATATAAACATCCGGTGGTAAAGAAGTGTTGTTATGATGGAGCCAGACATAGTGAGCATGAAACGTGTGAGCAGCGAGCAGAACGTGTGAAAAAAACAGGCCCTAACTGTGTCCAAGCCTTCACTCAGTGCTGCACCATGGCAACTCAGATCAGAGCTAATGACACCTTTAAACATATCCACGTGTTGAGGAATCAGTGTAAGTATGGTATTTCCTGTCGGAACCTTCCAAACCTGTGTAAATTCTCCAAGAAAAGCGGTTTTCATGTTCTACTTACAATTAGAGTTGAAAGACAAATAACTTGCAATGCCCAGAAGGAAACCCTGTTGTGTATTTGGGGAACTGGAAACAGGATAGCACACTCAGAGAACACTAGTTCAGAGCCAAGACTCAGTGCCACGAAGGCCAGCTCATATGCAGACTCGAAGGAGATTCAGAATCTCCGGTCGATAAAAGGCAATGATTCTGTCTCATTACAGTCAGCAAAAGTTGAAATCTATTTCAGTGTTAGCATTAGTAGATGTTTCAGGATGAAAGAACTTTCTTAATGTTTCCAGAACTTCAGGACTCCTTTTCTATATCGTCTTTAAGAAAACAACAACAGAAAGATGCCTTCTAATTTTACTCTGAATATTTTTAATTATTTTTTTTATTTGGGAGATTTTGATATAATCACATTATTTCCCCCTTTTCCTTTGCTTCCTGCAAAACAGCCAATAAATCTCCCTTGCTCTCCTTCAAAATCATGCCCTCTTTGTTCATTGTTACATTCATATATGTACACATGTATATATGTTTATATACATATATGTTCTTAAATATAACCTTCTCCATCTGTACATTTACATGTGTGCTTTTGGGAATAACCAGTTGCCATTGAATGAGCAGTCAGTGTGCTCTTCCCTGGGGAAGACTTTTTCTCCCGCTCCCAGCATTCCTCTGATGCCTGTAGTTCTTTGTGTAGGGTTGGTTCCTGGTGGTCATTACCCCTCACTCTGGCATGTCTATTGTTGTGTCTTTGTTCAGCTCACATTGGGGGAGCCATGCTGGGGAGACTGTCTGGTACAGCCTCTGGCGTTGCTAGAAGACAACGTCTCACATCAAAACCTGATCCTCTGGCTCACAGCTGCCTATGACCAGATTGAGCCTTCTTCTAGCAGCTGAGAGCACCTACACTTATGTCACATACCCACACACAGACACATAACATACACATGACTGAAATAAAATAAATCTTTAAGCAAGAGTAAAGTGTCCATATAAGCATTTGGACTATGAGGAATATTGCATATTTTCTATATACACTTTATTTTTTATGCAACCCATCCCATAAAGTATGATCCCCAGTAACACAGGAGAGGAAACTGAGAATGGGAACTGGTGAAGCAGTGGTGTATCTAACCTATACCATTGTGAACATAATGGTGTGTCTAACCTATACCATCATGAAGAAAATGGTGTATCTAACCTATCCCATCATGAAGAAAATGGTATATCTAACCTATACCATTATGAACACAAAGGTGCATCTAATCTATACCATTATGAACACAATGTTGTATCTAATGTATATCACCCTGAACTCAATGGTGTATTTAACCTATACACTCTGAACCTGTTTTGTGTTCTTTTTATGGATTGAACTGAGCAAAACTGAACTGTTATAGAGAAAGTCTTTGATAAAAAAATCATATAACTGAGTTGTAATTTATAGTTATAAGCCTCAGGCCATATAGACACACACACACACACACACACACACACACACACACACACACACATTTAAAATACGATTCTCAGGTTTCTTTAAGAGGAGTTTTGTGGGGCTGAGAAACAAGACTCATAGTGGCTAGAACATATAAGTCTTTTCCCCAGGTGAGGGGCCATAGCCCTTAATGGTGCTGGTGTTGACACAGGCAAACCAGGTGAGACTAGCAAATAAAATTGGAAATAATGAGCATTTATTGGATGGCTTAGCTGTTTACCCAGCTGACAGTGAATATTACCTAAGGATCAACTGTTTTTATGGAATATGTGGAGCAACTATTAGAGTCACAATAACCCCTTCCTATCACCCACTAGGCTTCAAGAGCTCCGAGGTGGTTCAGAGAAACAATACAATGGGCCAGGTTTCAGATGCTCTTAAATTAAAAGCATGACTAAGAATATAGCATTAGATGAACATTATTTATCGTTACTGGCTTCTGTAGGTGAGGCTTCTGTTTATTTGGTGTTTCAGATTCCTAATGCACCTTGACACTTTCCATCTGAGCCCATCATAGCCATACAAATTTATTTTCTCTAATTATTGTGTTGTGTTTGTATGTATGGGTGTGCATGTATGTATGTATATTCATGTGTGATGTATTCGTGTGTGTGTGTGCACATACACAGATGGGTGTGCAACCACACATGTGGACGAAGATGTTGGGTGTCCTTCTCAATTACTCCCCACTTTATCTTTTGAGACAGGATCTCTCGCTGACCCTGGAGCTCCCTGATGTGGCTGGGCCACCTGGACAGTGATCTCCAGGGATCCTGTGCCCCTGCCTCTCCAGGGCCGGGAATGCAGATGTGCACTGCTGTGCCCCACATTAGCGTAGGTACTAGGAATCCAAATGCAGGTCCTTTGCTTGTACAGCAAACACTTTACCCATGGAGTGTCTCCCTGCTACTATTTTCCCTAATGTAAAGAGGGCATTTAAAAGAAATTAGGCATTATTAGGGTCATAATAATTTCTGTGACTAATGTTCTTCACAGTAGTGCATGATTTTTTCAATTTTAGTTCAAATTCCTTGAATCTTTTACTGAGGAAAAAAACGAGGCGATCTAACTGCATGGAATATCTAACCGTTAAACCCAGAAGACGGTGCTCACGGCACTGTGGCTGCCACAGTGAATGCTGACACGCTGCCCAGGGAGAGCTGAAGACTCAACAGCACACACTGCTGTGTGCCACCGTGCTGCCCACGTGCCCAGATGTCTGTAACCCTGTATCAGTTCACCACAAATGACCAGATGTGCCAGCAGAGCATGGGAGCCTCTAAAATGATACTGTGCCTATAAATATGTGTCAAAGCAGAATATTTGAATCAATAAAATATTGTCATCCATGTTGAGAAATTTTATTTTTTTTAATTTATTTTTATTTTTTTTATTTTTTTAATTTATTCATTTATTAAGGATTTCTGCCTCCTCCCCGCCACCGCCTCCCATTTCCCTCCCCTTCTCCCATCAAGTCCCCCTCCCTCATCAGCTCGAAGAACAATCAGGGTTCCCTGACCTGTGGGAAGTCCAAGGACCGCCCACCTCCATCCAGGTCTAGTAAGGTGAACATCCAAACTGCCTAGGCTCCCCCAAAGCCAGTATGTGCAGTAGGATCAAAAACCCACTGCCATTGTTCTTGAGTTCTCAGTAGTCCTCATTGTCTGCTATGTTCAGCGAGTCTGGTTTTATCCCAGGCTTTTTCAGACCCAGGCCAGCTGGGCTTGGTGAATTCCCGATAAAACATCCCCATTGTCTCAGTGTGTGGGTGCACCCCTTGCGGTCCTGAGTTCTTTGCTTGTCTTCCCTCTCCTTCTGCTCCTGATTTGGACTTTGGGATTTCAGTCCGGTGCTCCAATGTGGGTCTCTGTCTCTGTCTCCTTTCATCGCCTGATGAAGGTTAATATTCAGGAGGAATATTATGTTTGTCTTTGGATTCACCTTCTTATTTAGCTTCTCTAGGAACGTGAATTATAAGCTCAATGTCCTTTATTTATGACTAGAAACCAAATATGAGTGAGTACATCCCATGTTCCTCTTTTTGGGTCTGGCGTACCTCACTCAGGATAGTGTTTTCTATTTCCATCCATTTGTATGCAAAATTCAAGAAGTCCTTGTTTTTTACTGCTGAGTAATACTCTAATATGTATATATTCCATACTTTCTTCATCCATTCTTCCATTGAAGGGCATCTAGGTTGTTTCCAGGTTCTGGCTCTTACAAACAATGCTGCTATGAACATAGTTGAGCATATACTTTTGTTGTATGATAGGGCCTCTCTTGGGTATATTCCCAAGAGTGGTATTGCTGGGTCCAGGGGTAGGTTGATCCCGAATTTCCTGAGAAACCTCCACACTGCTTTCCAGAGTGGTTGCACAAGTTTGCATTCCCACCAGCAATGGATAAGTGTACCCCTTTCTCCACAACCTCTCCAGCAAAGGCTATCATTGGTGTTTTTTATTTTAGCCATTCTGACAGGTGTAAGATGGTATCTTAAAGTTGTCTTGATTTGCATTTCCCTGATCGCCAAGGAAGTTGAGCAGGACCTTAAGTGTCTTTTGGCCATTTGAACTTCTTCTGTTGAGTATTCTCTGTTCAGCTCAGTGCCCCATTTTATAATTTGGTTGATTAGCCTTTTACGGTCTAGTTTCTTGAGTTCTTTATATATTTTGGAGATCAGACCTTTGTCAGTTGCGGGGTTGGTGAAGATTTTCTCCCAGTAAGTGGGTTGCCTTTTTGTCTTAGTGACAGTGTCCTTTGCTTTACAGAAGCTTCTCAGTCTCAGGAGGTCCCATTTATTCAATGAGGCCCTTAATGTCTGTACTGCTGGAGTTATACGTAGGAAGTGGTCTCCTGTGCCCATGTGTTGTAGAGTACTTCCCACTTTGCCTTCTATCAGGTTCAGTGTGTTCGGACTGATATTGAGGTCTTTAATCCATTTGGACTTGAGTTTTGTGCATGGTGATAGAAATTTTCAATGATGAAATTTTTCCCATGTTGCTTACATCTTAGTTATTGGTGCACATCCGTTGGCCAGTTTTCTATACTTGGCAATTTATTCCTATTCTTCCCCACCTTCATTTTTTATTTTCTCTGCAATTGTTTGCATCAGGATCAATTCCTTTTATGTAACTTTTATTTTAAGACAGATTCAGTTGTTTGTTTTTCATTTAAATTCTGCCTTTTTGGGACCTTAGCTGTTAGTTGTTTTAATTTGTTGACCATAATAATTTAATACATATAGCCTGGGGTCTGTAGGTCCTAGGATTTTAAGGTTTGGTGGGATGGAATGTCTGTTAGTGGGAAGAGCTTGACTGATCTTGGTTCAATCCCTAGCATTAAAAAATAAACTCGAGCTTATATTCTTTACCATCTTGCTTATAATAGCATGTTTTCTACGTGTAGTGCCCCCATTGTCTGTGTTCTTGTACGTGTTTCTCATAGAGTGTTCATTATGAATCAAACCAACAATGAAAGCATATCTTTTATAGCAATGAGCATAGAAGTTAATGCAATTTCTTTAGTATCAGAACATTTTGTGAGATGAAGCCATGCACAGTAAACCACTCTTGGGGCAAGTTCCTACTAAAATGGAATTAAGATAAAATTTGATGCTCAAAATGTGTTGCTTCCTGGTCATGGTAGGTATTCCACACATAAACGACATCAATGAATGAGAAAAACTAGCATGTGGAAAAGCAGCCCGTCCACACACGTGCATCAAACGTCTGCTGTTTAAGTGATCCTTTCAATAAATTACGGAGCATCAGTGTGCTTCTCCAGCAGGGAAGACCCGGCCAACTAGAAATGCAGTTACCTGATTTTTGTTGCATGATAAGCTGAAATCATATAATTTTAATAACTTATCCACTTTTTCAATCTTCCCTTTTGGATTAGAGCAGGAATAAAATACCATAACTTTAATACTTCTCACAAACTCTGTGTACTACTTGGAAACAAATAAGTAGATACTTTACATTGCTTATTCCATGTCATAAAGCATGAAACACAAATGCGTTCATCAGGGGCTGCTGTGTCAGTCAGAAAACCCTGCTGTCGCCCTAGACAGTCCCTGGTCGACTCCAGTGGACACAATTAGTCAGTCTCCTAGAGTCACTGTCGTGGTGACCCTCAGTGGAAGGTAATGCTTCATACTAAGAAACTCAATATAAATTCCCTCAGTGTGGCTGCCTTCCACTTTTTTCTTATCCCCTTGGAAAAAATAGCAATCTCCTTCAAAACCAGGTGCTCTTGTGTATAATCTCACCCTGCTTGACTTCTCTAGGGCACTCAATTCCCTCTCTTCTCAATCTATGGCTCACCTTTATGCCATATGCCTTGTGTATGAACTGCATCCAAAGTGTGGCACGAAGAAATGTGGCCATAGCAGTGAATTAGATAAATTTACCCCCGCTGCATAGACCTTATATTTGTTTTGCATAGATTGCAATGTTTTGGTTTTAGTTATACTACAGAACTTTGGCAACACAGATATACAGAGCCAACTTGCAACATAGCCTGATATCGGCACATAAACAGATATATAGAAGACTGGAGTAGAGGACGCAGAAATAGATACATGAAGCCACAGCTGTCTGATACTAGACAAAAGTTCCAGAATGTATGTTGGAGAAGACAGCCTCTCTAACAAATGGAATAGGAAAAGCAATATGTCTACTAGAAGAATGAAACTAGATTCCAGTCTCTCAACATTTAGAGAAATCAATTCAGATGTGAAAATTTAAAATACTAGTGAAAAACATAGGGAAAAATACTTCAAGATCTAGATATAGGTAAGGACGTTCTGAACAGAAAATAAGAGCAAGAGTTCAAAATGCCCTTGAAAGAAATAAAAAAAAATTTACACAACAGGCTTGGGAGACGAGTTTATGGGCAGACACACCGGCCCTCTAGCGTGGGGAGCTAAACTTTAGTGTTTATCATCTCTGTGGGTTTTGTTTTTGCTGTTTTGTTTCTTGTTGTCGTTATTGTTTTTGTTTTTAAAGCCAGTGTGGTTGTTTGAATGCAAATGGCCACCATAGGGCCATAAGGAATGACACCATTAGGAGGTGTGGCCTTGTTGCATAGGTATGGCCTTATTGGAGAAATGGTCACTGGGAGTTGGCTTTGAGATTCAGATGCTCCAACCAGGCTCAGTTTTACTCTCTCTTCCTGCTACCTGCCAATCCAGATGTAGAACTCTCAGCTACCTCTCCCGCACCATGTCAGCCTGCATGACACCATGATACCTACCATGAGGATAATGGACTAAACCTCTGAAGTGTAAGCCAGCCCCAAACAAATGTTTCTTTTATGAGTGTTTCTGTGGTCATAATGTGTCTTCACAATAATGGAAACCCTAAGAGAACCATGCATGCTATTAGTGCCTATAATCCCAGCATTAGGAGGTGGGGCAGATCCCACTGTCCAGCCAGCCTCATGGAAATGGAAGCTTCCAGTGCAGTGAGAGACTCTGCTCAAGGCAATAAGGTGCCCAACATCCTACTCTGTCCTCCACATGTGTGTCCATGAACTGGTGATCCCATACTCATGCATACACACACTATACATATGTGAAGACAGATAGTAATAGTTTTCCTTAGTTATGGTGAAAGATGAATTAGATTTGAAACTTTGGACTCAGAAAAAATTTTGTAACTGTAAATCTTGTTTGATACACATTTTGTTATACGTAATTTTGTTATGTTAAAGTTAAAACCTTCCTTTTTATTTAGACAGAAAAGGGGAGATGATGTGGAATTCCCTTCTATTTATTGTGAATATGTTTTATTACCATTTGTTAGTAAAGAAGCTTCTTTGGTCTATGGCAGGGCAGAATATGAGTAGGCAGGAAAACCCAACTAAATGCAGGGAGAAATAAGGTTGAGTCAGGCAGATGTCATGTAACTGCCAAAAGAGGGTAACACCATGTTGTTGCCCAAGAAGCAAGAGTTAACAAACCTAAGACTCATGGTAAAATATAATATAATAGAAATGGGTTAATTTAAATATAAATATAAGAGTAGATAGAAATACGCCTAAGTCATTGGCTAAAGAATGTTGTAATTAATATAGTTTCTGTGTGATTATTTGGGTCTGGGAAGCCAGGAATAAAAGTTCAATCTCTATTTGCACATATGTGCAATACACACTTATTCATACACCAACAAAAAGTTGCCCAAGAAAGTAAACAGCAGATTGAAGAGGTAGTGTACAGAAGGGAGAGTATCTTCACCATCCATTGGTCTCACAAGAAATTACTCAGAATGTATAAAGAATTTGAAAACTAAATGCCAAATAAATAATAATCCGACCAATAGAGGAGTAAATGATGCAGTTTCTAAAAGAA